TAATCTGTAAACTCATAGGAAGATGAAAAGGAATTCAGAGACTTAATCACAGGCAGCTAAAGCCCATCAGCCTCAGAGGCAGAATCAGACCCAGGAATGTGCCTTTACCACCTCACCAGTATGGATCTTGCCATCCAGTCCTCAATGGGAAAGATTTAAGAAGAGGTTTAAGTTGAAGAATTTCTATGACAAGGAAGAAAACCTAACCAAGGTTTGCAAATAACATTTTTATATCCATAACTCTGGTTTAAATATCACTTGCCTTACAACTCTTACTTTACTGCAAAGTGCATTTTTTCCAAGTAGAAATAAGAAATTAAATGGGTAGTCTTACTGAGAAGATGGTTTGATATCTGTTGAGAAATCTGGGCTGTAATTTACAGAAAATAGGTTGCCTAATAAAAACTGATTACAAAAGTAACAGAATTGGAAAGGAGGAGAACAGGTCATTTCTCACAAGGAAGCGATCCATTACTGATTCTAATGATGGTAAAAAATCAATAGTTGTCTTACTTTTGCCTTTCCTAGGCTGGCAGACTGATAACAGTTTTTTCTTCCACCTGTGCTTCCAGTCCCCAGCTGATGCTGAGGGAGTTTCCCTGTTTCCCTGGGAATTTGCCCCTCTTTGGTGGCACCAGACAGCGGGGTGGGTGCAGGGATGCCCCGTGCCTGCCCCAGCTGTGCCCCACAGTCTGCACCCAGCGCCCACCCAGAGCCCTGGCACAGCTCAGTGCCTCAGCTTTGCATTTCCCAGCCCTGGGCTCCTTTTACACATGGCAGGAACAAACTCCTGCCCTGTCAGCCATGGCCCACATCCTGCCAGCATCCTCAATGCCACACCTAAAGGCCTTTCCAGACTCACACGGGGAAGTGCCAGCAGCTGTGGAGAAACCAAAGGACTCTGCTGCAGACCATGCTCATTTCCTCCAGCATCTGAAGCCACTGCTAGGGATGGAGGAGTTTTGGGTACTGCCTGTGTTTCACACGCTGCCAGCTGGGGGAAGGAGTAAAACAGCTGCCATGAGATGGTGTTTGTAGCAGGGACAAACAGAACTAAAAAGTTAATGGGGTTTTATGTGAAATCTAATAAAAAACCTCAAAGCACAACAAAGCCCAGGTAAATTTACTGCCATTGGAAAGGTTAGAAATATTAGAAGACTTATCTAAAAGGCTAATAGAATCTAATGATGTCATTTGAGGTGCCTCTCACCGCTTGTCCTTTACAACTCAGCAACATCACAGATTTGGAAGGTCAGGAGGAAGAAAAAAGGCCTCCTGTGAACCAGCTCCTGTTGTTTCCCATCTCACTGCTCCCTGTTTTCTCTGCAGTGACCTGATGAGGGACATCAGCCTGAAAAGGGAACTCAGACTTCAGAGTCAGGATTGCACTGGGCCAGAATCACAGCTTGGCTTTTCAGTTTACAGTGACACCCAAGAATGAAGCTTTACAGCCGTGGGAAAGGAGAAGGAAAAGAGCACAAGGTCATGACTAGAACATGAGCACTTCTTTCTCACTATAAACTTGTTCATCAGGCAAGTATTTCTGCTCTAGGAAAAATTAATACCTGCTGAATCTGCAGGGAGTGCAGTTACACATCATCTATTACAAATAATGCCCCAGCCCTACTCAGTAATGTCACTGAAACCCAACTTCAACATTTTACACAAATGCAATTTCAATAAGCAATCAGCAGCATATAGTAATGTTAAATCAAGATGAGTCACCATAAAAAAAGATGATTTTTTTTTCCACACAGAGTAAAGATTAAGCACATCTTCAGCAGCAGAATATGAGAATGCCTTGACCACCCAGTTTAAATGCAGCCCCAACACATTTGAGGTGCTCAGCTGAGCAGGCCAAGGCCAGTGGGTGAAGAACTGCCAGCCAAGTGCCTGGGTCACCCTGCACACAGGGAGAGTGTGAGGGGCTGCACGGCCTCCCTGCCTGCAGGGGCTTGTGGAAACTGTGAGTTACAGGCACAGAAATGCTCCTGGCGCTGCCCAAATACTTCCTGTTCCCATCAGAGTGACAAACCACCAGTGAAGGTCTGCAGCAGTCCCCTTCCTGTTTATTCTTCATCTCTTTCTCCTAGATTTTTAAAGAAAGCACTCACTATATCATCAAAACATTTGACAAATGACCAGATACTAAAAAATGCCAAGTCCTGATCCAGGTATAATTACTATAATCCCACAGAAATATTCCCAAAGCTTTTATAACAATGCCTGAGTTCAAGGTGAAATCCAAAATCCACTGTCTTCAGATGTTAAAACCTACACTATTTGATAAACAGGGATTTAGTTCCAATTAAACAGATGATTAAAGAAGAAAAAGCTCAGGGAATAATCAGCACTAATTATACTACTGCTGCTAGTGTAATTAATCAGTTTTGCAACCTGCAAAATTGAGCTAAGGAGCTACAAGATGTGGAGATGCAAACTTGCTGTGCAGAAACTAAGGATCATCATCACCCAGAATAACACATCAGCACTAATTGCTCCTGGGGATGGGCTGTGTTTGGCCCCTTTCTCCTGCCTGCCCTGCTCTCCCAAGCTCCCTGGCCCGTGGAGCTGAGGCCACTTCAAATACCTGCAGTGACCTAAAGGGACAAAGAACATGAACCTAATAGTGGCTAATACTCACACCCCTGTCTGTGCCTCAGAGAGCTCCTACCACAGCTGCTGTTGTTTATGAAGCTGTTTTCCAAGAGTATAAAAAGTTCTCTCACGCCATGCGCTGGTAAAATAAACAATAAAACTAATTTTACAGTGACATGAAAGCTATAAATCACAAAGACAGAAACTCATGGATGCACCTTTATCTAAAGTGCTGCCCTTGAGCCCTCCTGGTGAGCATTTCATATCAGAATACAGCAATGATCTCCAATAATCTGTGATTTTACATGTTAGCTGTAAAGGGATGGAATAATGGATCAGTAAATACTGTGTATCTCAATTGTGTTTCAACACCAGCTTTAAGTTGTCCCGGCCCCACGGGTTTAGAAAGTATCCTTAGCACTACTTCAGAGTAGTTGTGGTGATTTAATTTCATATTTATGCCTTACTCAGCTGCAAGAGATGTTTCCAATAAATAAGGAGAGCAGCAATGAATCTTCCATCCCAGCTGTAAATCCTTGCAGCAGAAACATTTTCAGCGATGCCGAGGCTGGCGCCCACGGGCTCCTTCTCCATAAATACATCAATGTCTGTCTGAGGCCCCTGCTGGAAATATGGCTTCAGTTTTTTTCTTAAAAACATGGATCAATCATTGGTGCCCTTGCCTATTCTTTTCTGTCAAACGCTGCAAACGTGCTGCAGTGTCTGTGAAAAGTTTGAGAAGCACTTTGGGTCCGTGCCTTACGACCCTGCTGTGTGACATTTACCTTGGGTGCAGCTCTGGCTGTGTTTGAGCTGCACAAGGAGCTGGCTCCCCTCGGAGATCAGTGTGAGTGATGCAATCCAGCAAGCTCAGCAGATCCCTGGAGCAGGGGAAGGGCCTTTCCTGCCTGCAGAACACCCTGAGACCAGGATCTGAGAGCCCCCGTGCCCTCGGGCTCTAGGTCACACATTCTGAGTCCAGGGAAGAAAGCACCGAGTGTCCTACCAGCAGACACAGAGCACAGGAGGCCTACACAGTAAATCATTTAAATCATTCAATCAGCTTTCAATTTGGTAACATTTTGAATTGTTAATTACATGAATAAATTAGAATTAAATAAATTAGCAATCTACCTTAATAAAATTTACAAAGTAAAATTTCCTGGCTTACTGCACTGGCTAAAACATGTTTGGACAATTTCTTCTTTTTTTTGTTAGGCAAGTCACCCTTAGGAAAAAACAAAAGCAATTCCAGACCAAGGAGATTACTGGAAAGCCAGTAAGAATTAAACACTTAATTGTTTAACACAGTATTTGGGTCTTGCTCCCTAGCAATGAAGGAGAGCCAGCTTCTCTTCTGATGTCCAAGTCTCTCATCAGAGCTGTATCAGCCCTTGCAGTTGGATTAAAATGTAACTCCTTTGAAACTCCACAAGTTTGTGGCTCACTGGAAGGAAATTTCAAGGATAGATGGGTGGGAGGAATGAGCTTCCCCTCCTGTGAAGTTTGCTATTTGAGCTTGTGTGCCAGTGCCACACTCACGTCCACCTGCAATGGAACATGAGGAAGTGGCTTTGATCCTTTCTCCCTAATGATCTGCTCAGTCAGAACCCTGTCATGAAAATCTGACACTGCCATCTTGTTAATGCTCACCCTCTGGAAGAGCTGTTCTTTGAATGGAAGTATCAAAGAGCCTCCCTAATCTACTTTATGGGAAAGTCTCTGTTTTATGGCCCTATGCAGTAAAAAGCACCAAACCCCACAGTATTTCAAGTTCCAGCATTGCATGGCTGAAGCCAGCCCAGTGTAACCCCTCAGTGACTGCTTGGACATCCTCAAAGATCACAAAAACTGACAAAAACCATTTGCAAAGCATTGTTATCCATAGTGCCACTTCCTCAAGGAAAAAACCAGACTGATTTTTTAATGGAATTTCTCTGGACTCATTAAAAAGCCAACCCCAACCCTGTGGGCAGGAACCAAGAGCCAGTGTAGCCCCAAGGTGCCCAAAAAGGCCTGGGTGCTCCCCAGTGAAGCACCTGGGGGGCACACAGGAGACGCCCTCCCTGAGGCCAGATCCCATCCCAGGGAGCCCGAGGGAGCCCTGCCTGCCTGGCACGGGAGAAGCAGCTCTGGAAGAGACCCACGTGCCCCCTGCACCAGGCCCTGGCAGAGCTGGTGGCCTCGCACACTGCTGGCAGGGAGCAGGGCTGGCTCCAGAATCCAGCAGGAGAGGCCAGGAGCTTGGCTCAGCAGCAGAGCTGTGACCCCATCACTCCCTGCCAAAACACCCTTTGTTCCCAAGTCTCAGGCTCCAGACACCTTCAAGGATCTCCAGCGAGCAACGGGGAAGTACTGGTGGCTTCTCCTGGGCAATACTGCACAGCAGCTCAGTCACTCACCTTCCCTTGGGAATGAGAGAGCCCCTCCTGTGTCCCTGCCCCACAGCACCAAGAGTGCTCCAGGCACCTCCTCACTGCTCCTGGCTCAGTGCTGGGGCACTGATGTACGATGTCCTACACTCCCAGCAGCACTCTGCAGAAGGCAAATGCAGCTGGAGCCTCTCAGGGTTTTCAACATGCCAGCACAGGTGAAGCTCTGGGAAGGAAAGGCAAATTTTTGGTGCCTTGCCCGGTCTGAGCCAGCCTCCTACAGCCCAAGCTGCCCCAATCCCTGCTGCAGTGACACGGCAACAACAGGTGCTTGGCATTTTCATTGTCAAAACAAGGCACAGGTGGCTGTGCTCTCCAGCACACAGGGAGCCAGAGCCAGAGCCACAATGGACAGCAAGGACATTTGGCCAGGCAGGCAAATCTCACCTTTGCACTCACAGCTCCAGCTTGGGATGATGGGATCCGTGATGCAGAAAACTAAACTCAAATCAAGAAAAGGAAGTTGCAAGGCTTTAATGGACTTCTACCATATTTCTGTCGTAGTTAGCATCAGTTCTAAATGTGCCAGTACTGCATTGGTTAAGTAGAAGAACTTGAAAAATGTAACAGAGGCATAGAAGTCCTCAGAATTCCAGATCCAGGCTGATCTACTTTCCTCCCCCCCTAATCCCCCCAGTTGTCTGATCTTATACATCATCCACATCTCATAACGTGGAGGGTACAAGTCCCCAGTGCCCAGACCTCCCTGTGCAGGTTCCCACGTTATGGACCTCACTTCAGTTTCCAGGCCATTCGCTGTTCCCATCCCAGGATTCAAGTCCAAAAGTTACAGGAACTGTAGAACAACACACTTGTAAACAAGTTTATCACTTGGGAAGCATAAACAGGGGGGTGTGTGCCAAAAGAAGCAGGAGAAGCAGCTCTAGGATGTTCTCACTCCTATGAAACACCTCACCCCTCGAGCCTTATTCAGCCTCTCTCCACACAAAAAATGATGGAGTAACTCATGGCCCGACTCAAAATGGCAGAGTGACCCCAGAGCCTGACACAAAATGGCGGAGTAATGCCATGGCCTGACACAAAATGGTGGCATAATCCCACACCTTGACACAAAATGGTGGAATGCCCCCTCCTCATGCCCTGACACAAAATGGGGGAGTGCCCCACAGCTGACACGAAACGGGGACAGAGCCACGGCCGCCCCAAGGCAGGGCCCATCCTGGCCCTGGTGAGGCAGGCAGGGGTTCCTGCCAGGAGCTGCCCTGGTGCCTCCGGCCGCTCCCTGGCAGCCGCTCCCGGCTGATGGCGCCGCTGGCCCGGGTGCTTCTTCTCACAAAAAACCTCAAATCACTCCCCAGCCCATTTCCAAGGGCTGATGCCCAGGCTCCAGGACAGCAGGACTACAAGCCAGCCTGGGAGCCGCTGGTTTTGGAAATAAAGCTAATTTGGGGTGGGCAGCTCAGGAAAGGGAGGACGTGAGCATCTGCCTGCAGATGTTCTCAGTGCCCCCATGCAGAAATGCCAGAGGCTCGTGACCTGTTCTGACAAACCCAAAATGTGCCCAGTAACAAACAGGCACCTCCCACCAAAACCTTATTTCTCACCAGACACAATCTGCCTGCATCTTAGGAGCTGTTCAGTGATACACACACACAGAGAAAAACTTAATTAAAGGAAAGATGCTGTGAAGAATATAACTACTGCTCTACTAAAACTGCAAGAAATGAAAATTGAGATGCCAGTTGATGTGCTTGTTGACTTAAAATCTGTCCTCAGTTAGACCTGGAAGGAGCACAGCTGCTGTAGGGGTGCAATGAGGGCAGATTTTGGATCACATAAATTTAGATTTTTTTTCCTCTTAGCAACTTATTGCTTGTGAAATTATATAACAAATCTGTAAACCAATTGGCAAATGTCAGAAGGTGCCCTGGTTAAAATACACACATCCCCCCGAACGTGCCATATTCACAAATTAGCCATGTGTTATTTATAACTCCTCAAGGCACAATAATGAAGAAAGGGGTAATGAAATCTGAAAGCCTGAATATCTCCCATATGTCAGAAAGCAAATCCCACGAGACCCATCTGCTGCCCAAACTGGGGGAAAGAAAATTCCCTTTCTAAAGCAAACAAAAACCCTGCAAACAACCTCCCCACCTCTGTAGTTTTGTATGTGTTGTTTCATTCTGAAAATTGAGCTGCAAATTTAAACCCTACCATACTATTTCCACTCATTTAATCATAATGATACTTGGAAATTCCTTATATTTATTCTCCAGCACCACAAGGTGCATCCCAAATGCTTCAAAGAGACAGAGTCTCTTTATTGCCCTCTTTCTGTCCATGGAAGGCTGAACTCACATGCACACCAACTCCTGCCCAGGTATCACAGTGAGACTGAGCTTTAACTCAAAACCCTGATTGCTCCACATCCAAAACCTGCACATTTACACCTACCCTTGTTTATTTCTTCACTGCTTCAGTTTTCAACACCCACATGTCAATGTCTGTAAGGCCTTTGCTCAGTGGTCTCTGCCTCTCTAAAGTGCCAGAAATGACTTTTTACTGAATTTTCTTGTCCCACATTTTCTCTGTCCATTATTGATCAGAAGTGTTACACCGCTTCCCATGAGTACTTTCCCTCCTTAAAAATAATGTATTAATGTTATTTTTTCTTCTTTACTTGTGGTCACCTGTACATCATATCCTATGCAGAAAAACCTCTTTGAACAAAGCTGTGGCAATTACTGCACTGAAATATTTGACACTCAGCCAGTTTGGGGCAGCCAAGCTGCAGCACTGTGAGACACAGTGAATTCACCAGGCTGGAGAGGGAGTTCCAAGCAGCACAGCACAAGGGTAAGTGAAGGACACTGCCTCCTCTTTTGGCACATGGAGCAGTTGTGGGGAACGAGTGGGGATTTTTTATGGCAGATGTAAACACCACAGAACTGCCAAAAACATTTGAAGGTCCATCAGAATATCTGCATGGCTCCATGTCCATACTGATACAATAATCACTACCACTGCCTTTCCACCCCCAGCTCAATAATATCCTGGCCTTTCTACCAGAGCTTCCATCCATCCATCCATCCATCCATCCATCCATCCATCCATCCATCCATCCATCCATCCATCCATCCATCCATCCATCCATCCATCCATCCATCCATCCATCCATCCATCCATCCATCCATCCATCCATCCATCCATCCATCCATCCATCCATCCATCCATCCATCCATCCATCCATCCATCCATCCATCCATATTCCAATAACAAACTATTGGCTTTTTCCCTCCTTGTTGTCATCTGCCTCTCTGCCCTCCTGCATTCATTGCCCAATTTCTCATATTGTTAGAAAACTTTTGGGCAGTTGAAAAGTTCTTGGAGGCATCTGAAGGGGCAGAACAATCAGAGCAGAAGAGGAGCTGCACCTTTCTGTTACTTGTGCAGACCTGACTCAGCCAGAGGCTGAGCAGAGGGTCCTGGGCTGTCAGAACACGTTCTGAATTTAAACAAAATTACACTGGCTCTTGCTGGCTGCTGCAGTAGCACAGGCACCTCTGGAGCCACCTCCACCTCTGCCTTGTGCTCAGAGGTGAACTGTGCTAAGGTTTCATTTGTTTGATTTAAAACTTTGGTCTATGTAAGAAATGTGGATCATAAAAACAAGTTTAAAAACAAATATATTAATTTTTTCTCATCTTCCCTAACCCTCCTTTTCTGCAGTTCTCCAAAAGAATTACTTTTGTCTCAGCTGGTTTCAGCCTCAGGTAAAGGCAGGAGACTTCCACGGGAAGAAATCTCTATAGTTCCTGTGGAGGTGCAAGAGTTGGACACAAAACTTTTGGGGTTTGACTTTAGAGATCTGTGGATATTTCAGGCTGAAGGCAGATTTCATCCACCACTGCACTTTGGACTGAGCAGCTCTGGGAGGGCTTTGGGCCTGAGCCTTTTGTCCCTTAGGGATGGGAGTGTCCCACAAACCCAGCCTGGTCAGGGCCAGCTGCTGCAGGATCCCAGGCTCCCTAAAGGGGAGTCTTCCCAGGAAATCCCTTCCTGCCTTCCCACACCCAGCCCATGTCCTGCTGCTCCCTGTGCCACAGGCAGCCAGGCATCCTTCAGCACGGGATGCTGGCAGCCTCTCTTTTCATGGAGAGGGCACGGCTCAAGTGCCTTGAGTCCAGGTTTCAAATGACCATTGGAAACCCAGACTTTTCCTATTTTGGTCATTCCACTCTTTTCAGACTGAATGGAGACACTGGGTGCTAAAGCTTGCCTTTGTTAGCAGAAGCAGACTCTAGAAACTGTTGTGCTGTTAATTTTTTCAGTTGTCTTGGCTTCCTTAATATCATTCAGCTATTGAATTTCTTTATGGGTACCTTACTCTGCTTGATTCTGTTTCACTTTGAACCTCCACTGATGCTGAGGATTCCACACATTTTTTAACACCCTGTGCAAAATGCTGCTGGAATCTTTGTGCAGACTCTTGGTGACAGCAAAAGGTTGTTATTACCATCCCCCTTGTACTGTGTCTCCAGGAATCCATGCAGATGCTTTGTAGCCACCTGTTTTGCACTGGAACCTGAAGAAATCATGGTGCTGTGCTCACTACAACAGCATTTCTAAAAGAGGTGCCTTTCTAATTGTCCCTTTTAGAGCTGGTGCATGCATAATGCAGTGCTTTCAGGAGGGTTTGCAGTGATTTGCCCCAATTTCTGTGCCTCACACTGGGGCTGCTGCCTGGCACAGAGGTGAAACCATCCAGCTGAAGGGAAAAGGCTCTGCCAGGTTGGAATGCAGAGAGCAAAGAATTTCATTCACCGAGCGCAGTGACCAAAAAGCTGCATCCACACTCTGTTCCAGTCACCCAATTCCTCTGCTCCTGCCATTCTCAAGGACCTTAAACTCACATGGAGCTTCTGTGACCCCAATCCTCCGTGATTAGAGGCAGAGAAGAAGGAGTGAACTCGCCTTCCTCCCCTCTGAAGAGTTTCCATACTTCCATTAATTCCCTCTGCTTTCTATCTGCCATCCCACCTTCTCAACAGTCTGTCCCAAGGATCAGCAGCTGCCCAAATTCACTGGCCACTGAGCACCACTGCTCAGAAACATTTCTGTGCAAGCAGCAGGTTCACCCAGGGCACTCCAGCAGCCCTGCAGCCATTCCCCACTGGCACACAAAGAGCAGCTGGGTACTGAGACAAAGTTGTGACATCCATATGCTGCCCATGCTCACTTTGGAGAAGCTGGGGAGACTGGTGCCTTGGGAACAGGGTTAAATGGAATTGATTAAATAAACCAGGAAAAAAAAGAAGAACAAAAGAAGGAAAAAAGGCATCTAGTGAGTCTGTGGCTTACTGTGCCCTATATTCCTAAAAATTCACTTTGCAGTCAGGAGGACACATGGGGTTTGAATAATTTTCTGCCTTTACACTTTCCCTGCCACCAGAAGTAACATGGGGATGTTCTTCAATAAACAAATCTGCTCTTTTCTCTCGAGGCTTGTGTATACTCTGAGTGCATTGGTGACAGCAGATTTTTCATCAGGGAAATGAAAAAACCCAACAAAACCAACAGCCCACATTGCTGAAAACCAAAGAAGCTGAGCTGGCCAGGTCTCTGAAATATGGTATGAGCAAACAGAGAAATACAATAAAAATCCCCATCCAGCACAAATTGGGAAGTGATGGAAGGAGGCCTTTCCTGCTGAGACTGTCTCCAGTTCCCATCCTTCTGAGCATGGCATTATCCATTTTGCACTGAGGGGGCTCTCAGGCCAAAATTTAAAAGGTGACTGACAAACACAGGAGGCCAAAGTGAAGCAAAAGAATGACAATGAGAGCCTATGGAAGAAGCTTTCTGTAAAACATGGGGGACCCCTGAGCCATGTTAGATTATTGTTCTCTGTTTTTCCTCTTCAATTCTCTTATGGCAGACAATATTTCCTCTCCCCCTTCCTCTGCACCTGTACAGTGTGCCAGCTCCATGTCTGGATGCAGGCAGGCTGAGAAGTGTAACTGTGCATTGGACCTGCTGGAGCTGGGAGGCACATTTTTAGTGAGTAAAAGACACACTTCCATAAATGACACACAAAAACTGCATTCCCAAATCTCACAGCACGTGGAACACCCCCTGGATCAGTCCCCTCACCAGCCCTGCCCATTGCTGAGCAGGGCTGCTGGGAAGTGGAGCTGTGGGAGCAGAGCTGGACACAAATGTCACAAATGCTCCCATGCTCTCACATAGGCCAGGGATGCAGCCTCGTGTGTTTGTCACATTCTGCACAGGCCTGTGCAGAAACCTCGAGCCCATTACCTCCACTCCTCCAGATGCTCTTCGGGGGCTGGAGAAGGGCAGTGCCTCCTTCAGCTGCAGCCTCAGGAACAGCCAAATCTCTTTGGGAACAATCCCACCTGCACAGGCACCTCCTGCCTCTTCATCCTGGGTGTCCTTCCTTCCTTCCTCCCTGCAGTGAGGCACCTGTAAGGGACACACACAGCAATCACCTCTGGTGCAGGAAAAGCCCATCCTGCCCCTCCCAACCAGACTGTCCCTTGTCACATGTGGTGTTACACTCCCATGCTTTAACTGCTGGTACTATTTCCATTAAAGACTATTGGTATTTCCAGTAAAGATGGGCTGGAGACAAAGAGGATCTAATTATTAATTACATTTGGACCTGCATGCCCAGATGAGTAGGAGAAAATGTTCATTCAAGAGGAGTTTTTCCTTAACTCCAGCAGACCCTGGGTTTTTCCACGGAATGTTTTCATTTTCAGCTGCAGTCACCAGGAATAACATTAATGACTTTCAGTGCAGGGCAGAAATAATTAGAGGCAGAGCAATTGTCCAGCTCACATGCTTATGCTAAGAAAAGACTGAGAAGAATCATGCAAAGCTTGATAACCTGAGGGGGGAAAAAAGCAAACAAGCACAGGGGTGAGGTCTAAATCAAATATGAAGCAATCTATATTTTCCATTAAAGCCATTGTGGGACTGGGCATTTTGCAAAGGCCTTGATTGAAAACCATGGCAAAGTTAATGGGTTTGACTCCAATGAGCCTCAGCACTCTAATAAGGAACAGGGAGAAAGGAGGCCCAGGAAAGCAGAACTTGAAAAGAAACAGTAGTGCAAGACCATACAACAAAAAAGAAACCATTTCAATTGCTCTAGGAAGGAGTATCAGCTGCCTTGTCCTCAAAACTAGAGGGAGATTCAACAGTGCAGAATCTCGTTAGAATTTCAGCACTGTATTTTTTTTTTTATAAACAGCATAGCAGTAAGATTTACCAATATTGTCTCAATATACTTAAAGCTTTATTATTTATTCTTTGACAAGTGGTACTTTTCTAATTCCTTACTCTTAATAAAAATCAGTAGAGATGTGTACTGAATGAAGGCTAATTAGCACATTCATATCTGTCAAAAATTCAACAACTTCTGTACTCATATTTTTCGGTTCTTTTGTGGTCAGTTTAATTACATTTGTTGATGAAATAAATGAGGATATTAAAAAATTAATAGTTTAGGCTCGGTTTTTCAAAGGCAATTAGTAGTGAGAGCCCATTAAACTAAGTAGGGAATCATACCAATAATTTCTAGGGCTTTTTTAATGTTACCCTTGAAATTTCAGTATAATCAGGAAAGATCCCTGGGATCCAGGGATAGGAAAATATTGTTGAGGTGCTGAGAAAGAGGAGTTCAGAGCTGCAGAGCTGCTGACAGCCTCCTGCAGTGGGTGCTCTGTTTCAGAGGCTGTGACTTCAAGAGGAAGCAAAGTGAGTCATAAATGCTACTGGTAGCTGGAAATTAGGAGATGAAAACCACTTCAGAACATTGAAGTGTGGCAGGACTGATTACAGCAATCAAAATGTTTTCCCATTTCACTGAAGTTAGCCTTGAACAGCAAGGTTAAGGAAAGAGCCCAAAAACCCCCATATGCCCCTGACCTGTGCAGTGTGCCCAAGTGTCACAGCCTGACAGGGATGCACAGCAGTGACCCAAAGGTCACGGGGGATTTCTCCTTCTGTGCTGCCAGCCAGAGCCACTCCTGCTGCTGCACCTGGTGTTTC